TCTCTCTCTCTCTCTCTCTCTCTCTCTCTCTCTCTATCTCTTCTGTCTCTTAACCTCTATCAACCTCTCTCAACTCTCTCACACTTCATACACCCTAGCTCTTACTCTTAACCCCTCCCACCTTCCCTCACTCTTTTTTTTACACACACAAACACGTGCGCACACATAAACATACACTCACACACACGCGCGCGCGCGCACACACACACACACACACACACACACACACACACACACACACACATACACACACACAATGGGGGAAAACATTTGTAATCTTATAAGCCGCAGGAATCACCATTCTGTTGTTAGTAGAAACTCGCCGACTGCAGTTAGTGCTTACACAGAAGCATACTGATGTACCTGTTTCCGTGGTGAAGTGGCAACGTGTTTTGCCGCTGCACACTGCACACAGAAGACATGCGTTTGATTCTCGAGTGGGGAGGGTTTTTGTATCGAGCATCTTCATCTGCCTGTAGGCTGTGATATCAGTCTCTACTCAGGTTGGTCTTTCTTACAAACAGGGTAGAAGCAGTCTGACTCCTACCTAAATGGTCTAAATTGTGTCGGTGTCGACATAAATCATCTTCAAGTAGAATTACAATCACAGCAGCATATTATGGAGGAGCAAGAAGGGAACTGAATGTACCTACCTGTGACAATGGCTACTTTCCCCTTCAGACTCAGAGCTTCCATTGTTCTGAACTCGTATTCTGCAGGATAAACAGATCAGCGTGAGTAATGAGAAGTCTACAGACGTCGTAACGTTCATTCATCTTTTGATGTAGGTGTTTTAATTAACGTCCCCATCGATGCAATTTAGGTCATATAGTAGGCAGACTTCTGACTCTGCCGGTAAAGGCCGACCTGGTTGAGTGGGATACAAACAAATGGCCATAGTATTTTATTTTTCTACATTTTATTTCGTTCAGCAGGGTTTGTCTTGTGTTTAGAATCTGACATATCTTTTTGTTTGTTTGTATTTTCCACCCATTCAGGCCATTCTACGGTAGCACTACATTTCAAACGCATTTATTTTGTTTTCTTC